CTTATTTCTGAAAAAAGGATTTCGAAATTATGTTGTTTGTAGTTGAACCCATCTCATTTTACTTCTTTTTATCTCGTTTGTGTGCTTGAAGCTGAAGGGAACTCAATTTTAGGTTGAAATTTTTATTCGTGAAAATGGTAGTGATGCTTTCTAGATGAATATGATAGTGGTGAGGGAGAGAGCGAGATGGCTGACGATAAGAGAGAAAAGAGAAGGGCGGATGGTGGCGGCAGTAGTAGAAATGGTGTTAGAAGTAATTATGTCTAATAAAGGAAGAAAGAAGAAGGAGATTTTTAAAAAATAGCAGAAAATGGTCTCACGCGCGCCGAGTGTTAGTGTAATGTACTTTCCATGCCACGTTAGCAAAAAGTGTTTAATATGTACTAATTTTGAATAGTATAAGTGTTCAATAGGTACAGACTCGAGTAGATGTGGTTAAGTGAAATATGCGGATAACTTTAAGTGTTCGTCAATGACTTAAGCCTTAAAATAATGGCTGTGCATCATGTGAGCACATCACATATTATTAGTATACTAATATAGGTTGTGGAGTAGTGGTGAGAATGCTTCATCCTTGACCAAAGGTTTCGGGTTTGAGTCCTAGATATGGAGAAAATTATGTTAGGAACACCATCCCGAATAGGCCTAGCAATGTATGATCCGAATTTCGCTGGGACTCCAATGTAGACTTCAAACATCGAACAAGAAACAAAAAAAATTAAACGAAACTTTAATACGAGCTTCGGACACCGAATAGACAACCCTGAAAAAAAAATTCATATTAGTGTTAGGAAAAAAAGGAGGTATTTTTCATTTTGCGCTATACATAACTAAATTTCATAGCCAATAAACAAACAATACAAATAACGACTCTAATTTCACTTCCGACGACGGAGAATTCAAAAGCCGACTATCACTAGCCATGTCAATACACGATCAAGCGAAGGCCGCCGTGCTATCGCAAATAGTTATGGCGGCGGATGTCACACATATCGGCATAGCCCTAGCTAGTATTCTCAAGTTCAAAGCCAACTCTTCCCCCTTCACAAAATCAATGACGCACCATCGCTCGGTGTCTCCGATCTCCGTTCATTACTCTCCTCTTCCAACAATAATTTATCAAGTTTGTCATCTCCGTCTAATGTGTCATCATTACTCCATGTGTCTGATTTTATATGACTTACTTTTGTTTTTATGCAATTTCAAAAAGAAAGAGACATTTCTATATTTAGTAATAGTTTAATTACAAAATTCATATTTTATTTTAATGAAATGATTTCTAACCACACAAATATTTATGACTTATTTTAGACCACAAATTTCAAAATTCTCTTTATAAAATTCCATGTCAAGTCAAACTAATATATATAATTTAAGACGTATGAAATATACAATAAGTAAATAACAAAATCATAAATTTCCTAACCCAAAAAAAAGGAAGGTGTTTGTAACACCCCGACTTTTCAAAACGTCTAAATTAACTCGTATCTTTGTGGAAAGACAAGAAGGGTGAGTAATAAATTAAGAATGATGTGATATGTCCTATTTTAAGTGTTCAAGTGTTGCATCTCAAGTTTTGAAGTTAGGTAAGTGGCAAAATAAAAGTTGGCGGAAGTTATCGTAAGTTCCTTCTTAAAGATTTCTCTGAAATTTGGGTCAAATGTCTTGGAGGTTTTCTCCCAATCTATAAAGAGTTAGGGGGCCCACAAGCTATCGAATCGAAGGTCTACGAGTCTAGTTTCCAACGCATCAAACCGTTCATTCATACGACTTCAGAATAGAGAGATATTGGCATTTTCGTGGGACTGCGCAAGCAGGCACGTGAGGTGGGGCCCTAGGTCGGTGGAAAGTTGTATATATCTTCTTCTTCGAGTTTTTTCTTCATTTTAAGCTAAATATACAGAGAAAACATAGAAACCCATTTTTAGGATCAAGTGAAATATATATTTTCTCGACGTAAGTCCTTGACGAAAGTTGTTCTACGCGTTGGGCTCATCATCGTGGTATAATTTGTTTTATCGATTGCGTAGCATATCACATTTTAGAGTTGGGACAGCAGGGGTTTGAATATATTTGAAGGTTTTGAGGTGAATTACGAACCTAAGATCGAGGTAAGACCCTTCTTTCATCGACTCTAGCTTTTATAAGCAGCAAATAGCAATTTGCGACGAAAATACATATCTTTTATTGTATTGTCATGGTATCTTTTATTTTATGTGTTGATTATGGTCCTACCTTTTTGTAGTATCGAGGGAGTTATGAGTTAAAGTCTTTAGGCCACGTGAATTTAGCGAAAAAGGTATGTTAAGGCTATTCTCTTCCTATGGCATGTTTCCTTAAAGCTTAGGAGCAATGTAATTGAGTTGTTATCGTTGTTATACTTATAGCTATTATTGTTGATTGTTGGCTGCTCGAGTGCGTATAATCCTCTCTTATTCAGATTCTTATTCAGTAGTAACATTCGTATGTTGGACACGACTTAGAGGCTATTTGTATAGGTTACTTATCACTAAATTGCTCACTTTTAGCTGTTGGATTGTTATTGTTGCCTTTGGGCTATTGTTGTTAGCTGCAGGAATGTGATATATGCCTAGCAGGGTTATGTTCTGCCTACAGGGCTATATGGATGCCTAAAAGGGCTATGAGTTGCCTACGAGGCTATATTGATGCCTAGAAGGGCTATGAGTTGCCTACAGGGATATATATTGACGCCTAAGAGGGTTATGTGCTTCCTACAGGGCCATGTTGTTGCCTAAGAGGGCTATGAGTTGTCTATAAGATATGTTGATGCCTAAGAGGGCTATGTGACTGCCTGCGGGGCTAGGGGACTACCGATAGGGGTATACAAGCTGATTGGCACCTTCCGGGTTTATGGGGCCTGAGTAGGTGGTCTTGTGTGCTGTTTGTACCTACTGAGCTTATGGGGGCTTGGTTAGGTTGTTGTTTTATTATTTTTGATAAATTTAGATTTAGAAGCAGGTCAGTACAATTATCTTATCCTTAATTTATTTATCAGATTATTCCAGTATATCAAGATACCTCATCATAGTCTATTGCCTTTCATACTCTGTACATTATTTTGTACTGACGCCCCATTGCCTTGGGGGCGCTGCATTCATGCATGCAGGTCCTGACAGATGACCGAGTAGACCTCCATATCAGCAGGATTGACTTTTATCCGATTGGTCAGCCCCTTTCCTCCGGAGCTGCCAGAGTTGGGAGGTTTGTTACCTTTTGTTGTATATATTCTCATGGGTAGGCTGGGGCCCTATCCCACCAATCTTTACTACTCTTAGAGGCTTGCAGACTAGTGTGTGGGGTTTATAGCTACGTTATGGCCATGCTGGCCTATGTTGTTGGTTTGCTGAAGCTTGTGAACTGTTTGATTTATTGTACTGATATTTACCTGTTTTTAGTTTTGGTATAGATATCATGGTGGCCTCGACGGCCCAATCAGGACTTCTGTGCTAGTTGGATATTTCTTTATATGAACTCTTGGGAGTAGCTGGTTCTTTTGTAGATCTGTTGACAGGGGCTTTGCCGGCCGAGGGCTTAGTTTTAAGCCGAGATATACTTGTTTGTTTTCTTAATTGCATGCGACTGCCATGCGCTAGTAGCAAATGGTTCAGTAGGGTCGGCTCGGGACTGAGTTTTGGCTTTAGGAGTCAGTTGCGCCCCTTGAGTTTGGGGCGTGACAGTGTTCTTATTCTTTTTTTTAATTACGTAATTTAATTGTGAACTTTAGATGATTAGGTTAACAACACTGTATAAGTATTATTTTGTAATTTTTTATATTATTATATTAGAATTTAGAAGTTTTTAAAAACTTATGAATATTTTATGGGCCAATGGGACCCACATAAAATTGGGCTGGGCCAACTTAGCCTAGTCCATTCAACTTACGTTGAATACTTGTGCAAAATATATAGGAAAAACTACATAAATGAGCAATAAAACTCTAAGGGGTCGTTTGGTAGAGTGTATTGGAGAAAATAATGTTTCCATTAGCTTGTTGTATTATTAGTACCTTGTTTGGTACACTTTTCTAACCTATACATAACTAAAGCTTGTATTAGTAATACACTTTATTGTGTATTGAAAAGTGTATTGCTAATGCCATCTATTTCTATGCAATAGTAATGCAATGGGTTATAATGCATGCATTAACATTATTAAAGACACAATTGCCCTCAAAAACTTTTTTTTACATCCTTTCCACTATATTTGTGATAGTTTTTCTAAAAAAATTATGTAATGCATAATATTTTTAGTACACCAAACCAAACATTGCATAAAAAAATCTCATCATAACTAATGCAAACATAACTAATACAAACAATACTGATGCAATCATTACTAATACACTATACTTTGCATTATTCTTATACACTCGACCAAACGATCCCTAAATAATTACATGTTCATACCCAAAAAATTTAAAATTAAGTAAAAAACATGCCTTTTGTGCTATGTTTATTTTGAAAAATGAACAAGTAATAAATTTTACCAAGTAATAAGTAATAACTAAAATGCACGTTTATATATTATGTCATGCATAAAAATTGTTTAATAATTCAATTTTAAAATAGTAATTCAATTTTAAAATAATGAATGTGCATCATGCGAGCACATCACATATTAATAGTATACCAATATGGGTTGTAGAGTAGTGGTGACTGGCGAGATTGCTTAATCCTTAACCAAATGTTTCGGGTTTAAGTCCTAAATATGGAGAAAATCCTGCTAGGAACATCATCATCGAATGGGCCTAGCAATGTACGATCCGAATTTCACCGGACTCCAATGTAGATTTCAAACACCGAACAAGAAACAAAAAGAATCAATCGAAACTCTAGTATGAGCTTTGACACGGGATAGAAAACCCAAAAAAAAATTAATCATATTATTAGTGTTAGAAATAAAAAAAATAAAATAAAAGGAGGTATTCATAGCCAATAAACAAGCCATACAAATAGGACTCTAATTTCACTTTTCCGGCGACCGAGAATTCGAAAGTAGCCATGTCAATACACGATCAAGCGGCGGCCGCCGTGCTATCACAAATAGCTATGGCGGCGGATGGCGCATTTATTGGCTTAGCCCTAGCTTACGTTGCCGTACGGAGTATTCTCAAGTTCAAAGCCAACTCTTCGGCCCTTCACAAAATCAACGACGCGCCGTCGCTTGGAGTCTCCGATCTCCGTTCATTACTCTCCTCTTCCGACAGTAATGACAACTCTGAAAGTTCAAATCAATCCGACGACGTTAAGCTTGTGATCATTCGCGGTACTGTGGAGGCGAAATCAGCCGTTGAGGGTAACTGGAAGAGCTTGAGAGCTAATATTCTCTCAGCCCATAATTCTGCTGAAAAAGGCGTTATATTGCAACACACCCAAACAGTAATTCTTCTACACTTTTTCGTTTTATTTTAATTTATGTTCAAACCTTCAAAAGGAACATGAACATCAGTGCTAAATTACTCAATTTATCATGCTTTTTAGGCACTTAATATCCTTATTCGAGCTGGAAATTTCGTATTCAACTTGTTTGTGCACATTTAGGATTAGTGTTACGGTTAGAGTTAGTTGATGGTCAATCTAAAATTTGTGAATACTCACTATATTTGATGCATTAGGGCTTTTTTTTGAGACAAAAAGCATTAGGGCTTTTCTAGGCATGTTATACAATGCGGTGATGGTTTTGAATTACAATGCTTGATTTACTAGGATCGCACACTTTGGTTAAACTGCAGGGTTTGCTCTTGTATTTGTAATAATTTATCCTACATTCAGTTAGCTGTTGATGTCAATCGAAAGAAAGAACAATCATGTTTTGCTTAGTCCGTGTCGAAGGAATCCCTAGACATAGTGAGGACATGAGCTAATCTTGACTATAGGATAAGCTGGTGAATAGCACACGGAGGGATGTCTAGGGATGAATTCCTGCTTCGTCTCATGACCCCTTGGTCACAGGCAGGGAGTATGTCTTTAAATACAAATTATTTTTGTAATGAAATGTGTTAAATTAGAGCTAAATGGATTGTGAGGATTCATATAGCTTATCCAAAGTTGTTTGGGATTGATGTGCAGAAGTTGCAGTTGTTACATTGTAAAAATCAACAACTATTAACAGTTTTGAAGGGGAACTACATGTTTTGGATGTTTTATACGTGTGAATATATAGATTAACTGTTACCGAAAGAAAATCAACAGCTATTATCTACTGGTGCTAGACATCCTTCAGTTTTCAAAAAACTCTTTGAACGGTGTACTTTAAACAGAAACCACTTGCTACTTGCTAACCTGGAAATATGATCCACAACCAATTCATTTGCAACCTATGTTTGCCTGGTATTGTTTTGTCAGTTTTTGTGTATTTTTTTTCTAGTGAATTTTGGCAGGATACTGATGTTCGTTTGCCGTCTTATTTTAGTGTATCTATAATGAGTGGAGAGGTTTCTTTTCATGGGCTGGTGATCTGTATTCAATATTTCCAAGAGTCCGGAAGGACCAACAGTCATCCTCTTTGAGAACGGTAATGTGAAAATTTTCCAGCAACACAGGTCTCTTGAATTTTGCTAGTACCTTTAATTTCACCAGTGAAGCACAAAAGAGATATTGAGTCAGTATTGCTAATATTTGTCAATTTTCTTTTTTTGCCATAAATTCTGCTAGGTTATGTGAAAACATTTTGTAGGAAGCTATAATTCTAGAATTTTTAATGCTTTATTTATCTGCTTTGATCATTTCCTTCCACTCTATTTTAACGTTCTCATCTAAGATTTTTATGCTCTCTATTTGGCATCTTTGGAGGTATATCGTACTCGTGTACAAGGTAAGGTTCTGAATAGGAAGAATAACATGCTGAGATGTCCAGACTGGATGTTCCTCAAATGATCACACTTTTAGCACAAACCATCTCAAATTTAAGAAGCAAGGCTTGAGTGGGTGTTTCTTTAATAAATGACTCGTAGTCAGTGGTGGATCTAGGATTTTAAGGTTGTGGGTGCTAGACACAGTGATGGATACAACCTTGACGCTACGGGTTCAACCAAAACCATATATATAAAAATAAATATTAATTCAAATTCATAGTTTAAAAATTATAATGGGGTAAGTGCTCAGTTGCTATACAGTTTTAGTTGGGGAAGAAAATGGTTTAAACGATATCTTCTTCTCTTACTTTGTCTCTGCATAAATGATATCTTCTTCTCTTATCTGGCTTGTGTTTCTGTTGCAAATTTCTCTGCATAAAAGTTTTTCCTACTTGTTATCTTTACATCTAGTTAATACGCTCCATATTTGTAGCTGCTGCTCTTTTGCCTGCTAATACATGTTGTATAGCTCTCTTTGTTTTCATAATATAAGCTTTTGTGCTTCTCTATCTTCGACTCAGGTTCCTTTTGTTCTTGAAACTGGCTCTCTTTGTTTTCATAATATAGGCTCTTGTGCTTCTCTATCTTCGACTCAGGTTCCTTTTGTTCTTGTTGAAACTGGGAAGTGGCCACAACCAGAGTATGTTAATGTAAATATGGATGGCTCAAGGCATCCCCTACCTCTTGTGACAGTTTATCATCACTTGCGGCCTTTACATGCTACGCCTCTCACTTTCCTCCAGGCACTCTTTGGTCATTACTATCCTGTGAGTTGAAAAATATGTTGTGTATATGGGCTTCTTGACCATTTGTGATTGCTTATACAACTTTTAAAGTTTGTCTTTCTTCCTGCAACTCATGTAACATACTGTTTTCTGTCACAAAGGTTGGAGTATTGGATGAAGAAAAAATTCTACCACTTGGAAAAGATATAACCGCTGTTGGTGTTTGCAGTTCAAAAGATGGGATTTTGGAGATCAAATCATGCGAGGACCTACCCTATTTCTTGTAAGGAAGGTTTACAAAGTAGTTCTCTTAATAAATTGATAAAGCATGACACTCTTCTTTCCACGAGACTTTATGATACTTCATTTTCATCTGTCACTAGCTAAACAAGTTGTTCTGCCAAATGAGGTTGACTATTGCCATCCTCATATTCATTAATTTTTCCCCCGAAATTCCCTCAAACCTCTCTGAGATAAATTGTCTTTTTGTTGACTCTAAATGTGAAGTAAGTCTCCTTATCTTATTGGTGAAATTGATTACTTGATATTCAACAGGTCCTCTTAAAGTATGAATCTAATCATGTATAAAAGATATATGAGCTGGGTTAGGAAGGAAGGTTAAGAGAGATCCTATGAAGAAAAATGTTTTTTAGAATTATAAATAATGGTTTAAATGAGCATTACACCATTATTGCGAAGAATACAAGTTTACCTTACTCCAAAAAAATGGTTTAATTGAGAAGCAATGAAAATTCTTGAATCTGACCCCGCGTTAAAGAATATATTAAATGTTTTCTTAAATACCACATCTACATTTCTTATGAGCATTATTATTTGAGCCACAACTTCTATTTAACAGAAACATAACAATCTCTTCTTCTCTTCACTTCTGGTTATAATTATCACAGGCTTTGCGGTGTTACTAGGTCATAGTCATTGGTAGACTATATGACAAAACTAACATGAGTTGGTTCTTATGAGATGGTTTTAAAATTTTAAATGAAGTTTCCTGAGATTTTGACATTTGCGCTCAAACATGATAAGATTTTTTGTCAGTTTCATTATGGAAGAATTACCGTGAGTTTTTGAAACATTTTTGGGTGACACACTCATTGGTAGGTTTGAATAATAGAGTGCAAGTCCTGTCATGGTGATCATCTTGATTCAACTGATACACATGTTGATATACACAGTAAAGTATTTGTCTATCTACAAATTGCACATGTATATATATTTTCTGCCTGGAGCATGTGGTTCTTTTAATATCTAACTTCTAATCATGTGTTTTCTGCATTTTTGATGCTTTATATCTTCAAACATATGTCACATATCTGGTACTTTATATAAGATGATTCCCTTGTTTTAAAATCTTGGTGTTCTTTTGTTTTCCTGATTAGTTTCTTTTGTTGAAATTGTGAGTGTTAATTTTTTACTTTGGTAGGTCTGACATGACGAAGGATCAAATGCTGGTAGACCTTGCCTTCAAAACAAAAGTTCTGATGTGGAGTGGAGTTGTGTTTGGTTCAGTTGCAGTTGGTGTTCTTGGCTATGCTGTTGTGAGGTAAACTGGTTGTGTCTCTCACACACTTGAACTTTTAGCCTTTGTGGATATCATGCCTTCAAGATCTCATTGTTATGCTCTTTTTTCTTCTTTGTCCTTTTCCCCTGTCATGGACTGGAGCTGTGGGGAGGTCTAGGCAGGGACAAAATCCTTAATTATTTCATATCGTATTTTACGATTCTGTTTATCGAGCATAAGTTAGGGTTGTTGGAACCTGCTATTGAGTGGTTACTAGTTAAATAATCACGTCATCCACATCTGTCCCAGAATTGGTGGATTCCTTTCCCTACTTCATCTGCAATTTATTTCGTGGCTACATCAAATGAGTCAACTTATAATAACTATGACGTGAACTTCAAATCCTACTGGGGTAGAGGGCTGGTTGATTGATTTGGATTACAGTTGTTGCCATAGTGTGTATGCAATTATTTGATAGATATTACTTTATGGAACTTGTGTGATGTAGACAAGTGTACTTGCATTCTATTAAATTAAGGGAGTATAGTTTTATCTTTGATGCAATTGAGGTTTGAGTAGGACCATCATCACGTGCCAAAAAGAATAATGCATCTAGCTACCTTAAGCATGAAAGAATCATGATTGGTGCGTATTTCAGATGAGCAGAACCTTGAAATTGGCTTACATATTCTAGACCACAAGACTGAAAACAGAAAAAAAAGGAAGATATGCCAGTTTGAAAGGAAAACAGGGTGAAAAAGTTTATGGCCAAATCTTCTTTGTCAAGTTTTAAAGTTCTCTTTGTTTCATATATTTGCAAAAACATGTTTTACTCTTTTCTCTTCTTTCTCTTCTTTCAAATCTTTGAATTTGTTTTTCAAGTTTTTTGGCCAAAAATATGTTGATTGCTCTCTTTGGAAATTTGTCAATGGCTATTGATTTACACGGTGCCTCTCTTGTGTTTATGTTGCACGTCTCATCCTGATGAAAAAGGTTGGGTTGAAGGTTTGTCCAAATCCTCGTGTGAATAGTTCTTCTGCCTGTTTAGTTATTTTTATGGGGCTAATCTCCGAAATTATACAGCAAGCACCTTCTTTTGCTGGTCCAAACTCTCTCTTAATCATACAACATGGCAGTAGTTATGGTTCCTTATGGTGTTTAAAGCTTTAACTTCCGTTGCTTATACCAGCTCGAACAATCCACTACGGGCTGGAAAAAGCATAGACTTTGCTCAGGATGAGCATAAACTTGTAACTCTAGTTGTGCTGCCTAAAAATTCCTTAACCTCCTACATGGCATGAATAAAAAAGCTAAATGAAACTTGTTTATCAGCAGCATTGTTATCAGTATTTACTCTAGTGGTCGCATTTTCTCATTGGTATTTATTTGTTTTAGGAACTGGAATCGATGGAAGCAGTGGAGACACCAGAGGCAGGCCCAGCAACAAAGGGATTCTGCAAGCAATGACGATGATTTGCAGGTTAGTCCTGATGACGAAACTGGAGACGTTCCTGATGGTCAGTTGTGTGTGATATGCCTTATGAGGAGGAAGCGCTCAGCATTTGTTCCGTGTGGACACCTGGTATGTTGCCAGCGCTGTGCCTTGTCAGTTGAACGTGATTTAGCACCCAAGTGTCCTTTATGTAGGCAGACAATTCATAGTTCTGTAAGGATATATGATTCTTGAGGAGCAAATAGTTATGAGTTATTTTGAGTACTAGCTCATGCTGGGAAGGTGGTTGTGCATTTGTAAAGCATGCGATGAAAACTACATTGGACCGTCTCATGTGAGGATGGTGGTTAATGGAGTGATGGTGGTGGATGTGCCGAGGGGATTAGATTCTAGAATCTAACATGCATGTTGTTTGCGTCTGTACATACATTTTTTGCTGATTAATTGTTGTACCCTTAAACACAATATTCATTACAATGCTAGGGAGTCATTTTGCTAAAAAAGCTTGAGTTCTAAACACTCAGTTATTTCATCAAAACACAAAATTATTACACATCTATATTCTTATAGGTACATGACCACCTTGCCTAGAATCAAATTCTCAAGGAATTTGACAATTTTTTGACTTGTTGCCTCTGCAAATGCACTATCTGAACCTGTGTCAAAGCACAGCTAATGAAGATACTTCCAGACACTAGATTTACCACTAGACTTTTGACTCGGTTCATGCTTAAAAGCCTTGTGCATCTCATGTGTTGGGATCTATCTTCCATAATGAACAAAATGAAACAGGATCTCCTTTCCACCACAGTCCAACACAGCCATCCTTCTCATCAACTCTCATCTCCCAGTTGTTGTCATACTTCTTCAACAATGCACGAGCTCTATCAATGGCATCGTCTCCAAACATCTTACATACGAAACCAACAGTCCTCATTCTTTCACACCATTTCTCCTTTGTCTCATTCATCTCTCCCATGTTTGTCAAAGCCTTTGCTGCTTCTCCTTCCATCATCCTCCTTCCATCGTTCTCACGTCCTTTGTATGCTACACTGGTGGAGTCCAAGAACTTCCACAAGTACTCCACTCGCCTTGAGAATCTTGTTGTGAAGTCCCCGCAACTGTTGCAGCTGCAATCCATGTTGTTTTCACTCAAAACCAGTCCTTTTGGCTCCAAACTCTTTAGTCTTTTCAACAACTCTGTCCTCTCGTCTGGATTGTTGTGTTTCAAGTTATGGAGTCTGAACTGTGCACAAATAACCAAGATTTCATCTGGGGATGAATTTATCACTTGGGAATCAAGATTCTGAAGTGGGTAATTCTCCAGTCTGTTGATTTGTAGATTGATGTTAATAGCCTTGGCAAAGGCAAGGAGCTGCACTGAAAAGTTGTAAACACCTGGACCAACTACAAATGGACTATTTCTTTGTTGATCACCTTCTATGGTAGGTGTTATTACTGTTAGACGAACCAATGGTGGCGGACCTCCTTCTCGATGGGTCAACTCCTCAAGCAATGTTGGCCATTGGACACCATGAGAGACTCCAATATCAAGAATGTGTAGGTTCTGGGATGAATCATGTTTCCCAAGAATTTGGAGTATTGAGGAGTTTGCAATGCTATTGGGTATGCGGAAACAGGGACTGATCTCATTGAAGTTGATCAGTGAGTTCTTGAAGAACTTTGGATTTGTTGAAGCAAAAGTAGCAACAACACCAGCAGAAGCAGAAGATAGTGAAGTTGGGCATGGAGTAGAAAGATAATACATTAGCGCCTGGAGTCCACGAGCAGCCAACCGATGGTTGGCATCTCCGTTTAGTGAGGAGAGCTCGTGCAGAACGTACAACAAGTGCTGCACACGGTTCAGATTTCCTGCAGTAATTGCAGCAGCACAAGGGTTAAGTAACTGCTCTGCCCATCTTCCTTCTCTGTTGTTACCATTATTTCCTGTGGACTTGTGTGTTGCTTTCTTGTGTCCTGTTGATCTTCTTTTATCTGCATCATTGATCCGACGGTTCTGATTCTTCCGGGACGCCTTGGGATTGTAACCAGAATCATTCCCTTTCCTTTTCTTGGATGAATCCAATGGCGAAGGGTGACTTGAAATGACCGGCTCCAAAGAGACAGTGCTCGCGGCTGTGACAGGGAAGCTAGTGTCGAAGAACGTTAAACTGTTATTGATATGTATTTCTTGGTTTATACTCTCACTAGGAGCCCACCACGAGTCCTCGTAAATATCATCGAGGCTATATGACTCATCGAGTAAATCATCGATGCTATATGACTCATCGAGTAACGACGGAAAATATGATAAGGGACTATCCAGCCACTCTGAGATGGGATCAGAAGTAGGTTCATCAATGTTCATTGTATCACAGATTGAGGAAGAAGGGTGGTGGGGAAGGATGGCTTGATGTTGGTGTTTGATCATTGACTTAATAGAAACTATATGCAAAGATGGGATATGATATTTTTCTTAATTGTTATAGTGGCTCAAGTTTCAAAGTGCTAAAGCTATAATAGTTCAAAATGGAATCAAAAGGGATTTTGCTTTGGGAAGAGACACAGCATGGCATATTTAAAGGGCAAAAGTGTACTGTTGTTTTGGAAGTTATGGTGTTTCATTGGGATTCCTTTAGAGTATGATAGCCTAATCATTGACACTAAGTGAACGTTTGGACATGCCATTTAATTTCGCAATTTGAAATTATGAGATGAAATCAATGTTTGGACAGATGAAATCTCAAAATTTTCAGAAAGCTTGATTTGAGAATTTTATATCACGATTTCACATTTTTCAAATATCAATTTATGTTTACCAATCATTTATTTCATATGTAAACAAAATTTATAGTTGATATTATTACTCTTACCAACCTTTAAAGTTTAAACAATTTATATCAGTTATAACCATTACTCTCGACAATTTTACTCTTATCAACCTTTAAAGCATTTATATTGAGAAATGCATGCTCAATGTGACAAGATTGTTTGTACTATGTGGAAGGACATGTTCAATTTTACTTTTTTATTGAACAAAATTTCAACTAATAAATGTTGTCTTTTTAGAATAACTTTGTGATAATGTATCATATTTTTGTTATGAACTTTTGCTTATTTGATAAGATTGTATAAAGGATTGAGACAATTGACATAGTTTTCTCAACTTATGGGGTTTTATGTTTATGAGCAAAAAATACAACTTAAAAATTCAAATTTCATCATTTACTTTAGAAAAATAAGTTCTTTAAAAATAAAAGAAAATGACTTTCCTAATGGAACCAAGGAAAACAAGTTGCATAAGTAGAATTTCAAGTTTATTGTCTCCTTATCACCCATCTATTTCCCGAACCCCCACTCCTTGATCATCCCATCCCCACCCCACCCCCTTGAACCTTCACTTTTCATTCCATTTCGGTTCCATAATATTTTGCTACATAAAATATAAATGCACTTGGAATAATATTTTCCTGCTAATTTACCAAACACTAAAAAATAAGTAAAAAATTTTCAAAAAGTTATTTTACCTGAAAATATTTTTCTTCATACCAAACACACCTCTTATTTATTTTCTTGTAAACAGTAAGTAAACAAAGGGTTATTATTTCAAGAACATTTGTTTAGTATATTTAGATAAACGCTATAAAAACGAAGTGAATGTAGGATAGTTGGGGGTGCGGGGTGAAGGGTCAGTGGAGATGTGGAGTGTTCGGGTGTAGAGAGACCATTAACGTAGAATGACACTTATTGAACTGATTTTTTTTCTATTTTTATAAAGGAATTCAACTTTTTCGACTTTTAATGAACTTTTTTTTTTTTGAGAAAATATTTTGAAAAATTAATACCACACACATCCTTAGGGTCATTCGATAGCTAGTTTAGATATAAGTTATGTAGGTATTATATTTTGCATACGTAAAATTACTATGTTTGGTAGCTGATTAGGAGGTAAATTATTCATGTATAAGATATATACGTTATTTGATTTGCAATTTAGAAATTCGCATAACTAATACATACATAAGTTATGAAGAATTTATATATTATTTTATACATAATATAATACTATAAAATGACTAATATATAAATAATTGATCCTTATATAATTAATTTTTACATAAATAATATATAAATTCACTCATAATTAATTCTTACGTTACCAACATCTACACTACCAAAAGACCCTAAATCTTTTGTGATTTGCTTCTCTGATTGACTTATTCTGTGGAGGTGTCACAGATGTTGGAGTTTTACAACACTTTTTTCTTTCAAGAACTTGGGATTGTGAAAGGTTTTGAGGTTCAAATTTCAATAAGATGATGTCAATCTCTTTTTCTATAAAAAATTATTTTTCACTCAGTGTTGGATATTTAAATTAAAATTTGACTATTTTAAATTTATATCGAGTAGGACTTTATTTGGGGTGAAGTATTCTTTATCAAAAAAAATAAAATTATATTCAAAATTTGAATTTGAAACCTTTAGTTAAGAAACGAATAACCTCATCCACTGCACCATATTATTTGATTGTAGAAGACGGCAATCTCTTCATTGTGATTAAAATAATTTTGAGTTTTTGTCTGATGAGTGTCTTCATCTTATAGGTAATTACATGATGCATTTGGGCACTTTCGAAGAACCCAATTGACAAACAAACGAACTAGTAGTTGTCAATTCCGATTTGGTCTATGTTGAAAAAAAAAAAAGATCAAATTTCACAAAAATAGAGTATGGAAAAAATAGAGTGTATATATATTTTATTCTTATATGAGAGGTAGAGAGTCTTATTTTTGATAAATCCTCGATGAATTTATATTTTTTATCCTATAAAAATAAACTCGATACAATTTCATACCTTAATTTTATCTTAGAGGTAGAAAGTCTATTACTTATAGATCTTCAATCGGTAATAAAAATATACTCGATGTAATTTAACAAAGTGAAATCTGAGGATGATAGAGTGTATACAGATCTTACTCTTATCTTAGAGATAGAAAATCTATTTTTGATACTCTCAATCGGTCTATGCTTGCTTTATAAAGACATACCTGGTGTCATTTCATAAAATGTTATCTGAAAATAATACTGTATACATATATGTTACTCTTACTTTATAGGTAGAGAATCTATTTTTTTTTATAGATGCTTGACTAATTTATGTTTTTTGTTTGTTGGATCAATGCCAACTTGACTTGCTCCCTCCCATCAATTTATGTGAAGGTATTTGATTGGGTATAAAATAGATTAAGAACAAAATGAAGACT